GTAAAGAATAAAGTTGTCAGACATATGGAAGAACATAATTTGTTGGGCAAAAGTCAGAACTAGGGACCACTAGATGAAATTAATGGGCAGCAGGTTTAAAACAAATAAAAGGAACTTTTTCTTCACACAGTGCACAGTCAACCTATGGAACTCCTTGCCTGAGGAGGTTGTGAAGGCTAGGACTATAACAAGGTTCAAAAAAGAGCTAGATAAATTCATGGAGGTTAAGTCCATTAATGGCCATTAGCCAGGATGGGTAAGGAATGGTGTCCCTGGCCTCTGTTTGTTAGAGAATGGAGATGGATGGCAAGAGAGAGATTGCTTGTTCATTACCTGTTTGTACGATCGACATACAAAAGGAGGACTTAAAGACGATGCAGTAATTGCGGAGAAACTAAAAGTATTCTTTGCTTGTCTTCTTTGCTTCAGTCTTCTTTACAATAGTAAAGAATAAAGTTGTCAGACATATGGAAGAACATAATTTGTTGGGCAAAAGTCAGAACTAGGGACCACTAGATGAAATTAATGGGCAGCAGGTTTAAAACAAACAAAAGGAAGTTTCTTTTCACTCACCACACAGTAAACCTGTGGAACTCCTTGCCAGAAGATGCAGTGAAGGCTAGAACTTTAACAGGGTTAAAAAAAGAGCTAGATAAATTCATGGAGGTTAAGTCCATTAATGGCCATTAGCCAGGATGGGTAAGGAATGGTGTCCCTAGCCTCTGTTTGTCTGGAAATGGATGACAGGGGAGGGATCATGTGAGGATTACCTGTTATGGTCCCTCCCTCTGGCACATCTGGTATTGGCCACTGTCAGCAGACAGGATACTGGGCTAGATGGACCATTGGTCTGACCCAGTATGGCTTTTCTTATGTACATCTACACTTGCTCCCTAGTTCAAGCTAGGGATGCAAATGTAGACGACCGAAATTGCTAATGAAGTGGGGATTTAACTATCCCTCTCTTTATTAGTATGATCTCACCAGCACATTACTCTGCTCAACAGCTGAATCCAACCAGGAAGTGCGCTCCGGGACGCGTTAGTTCAAATCAACCCCTTGGTTCGAACTAACATTACTCCTCATTTTTTTGGGAGCAAGTATAGACGTACCCATGCAGATTTTCCTTTTTTCTCAGTCTGTTCTATGTCCTGCTGGCTGCACAGTTGCTTTTTTCTGGGTTTTGACCATGCCTTGTGGCTCCCAGTTTTGCTCCTGATTCTCAAAATGGTGGGAATCTGTCTTTGTTTTACTCATTTCACTGTGGCAAAATATTACTTGGTGTGACTTTTCTGGATAGGCACCTGGCACAATCCAGCTTCTTTCTGTTCTTGATTTGTTTTTCCTAATGACCAGTGTATTTGTGTTTTAAGCATTGGTTGAGCACGCAAGCTGAAGCAAAAGGCTAGTGCTTCCAGATGACAAGCACAGAGAATTTGGTGGTTTTTTGAGGTATGGAGATACCTGTGTATATGCTTCAAGAGAATCTGGAGGCATGTTAGGCTATTGGTGGTGGTTACCTGAATGGGGTAAGATGACTGGTACAGAGGGAATTACCAAAGAAAAGTTGGTGTCAGGTTTTCATGCCCTGCTTGTTGCAAATGGGAAGTTTTTGTCTTTCTTATGTGGCCTCTGACTCTGTTCCCTTTCTTGTTCAGTCTCTTGAGTGAGGGTTATGGACTGCAGTGATATCTGTGAAGTGCTTTGGGATCTTTAGACAAAGTGCACATTTATTATAATCAGTTTACTCCTATGAAATAATGTTGCAGGCAGATGTGGTCAGGGATCTTGTGTCTAAGGAAGAACTGATTTAATGGAAATAAATTGAGCTTTGGTTTACTTGAACTGATAATCAGATTCACCTGCCAATCAATCCTCTCTCTTACAGTAACTGGCCATGAAGTTGTGGCTTAATTAATTAGTGTTTGCAAAGTGTTTGGGATGCTCTGAGGAAGGGTACAGCAGCACTGAGGGGTGCTGCTGCTGCTGCTGCTCTTGGAGCTCTGCCTTTGGATGGAGCTGCCTCCAGAAGTGGCTCACCCCAACCCCAGAAAGCTGTGTATGGGAAGGGGGAGCTGGTGCTCAGGAGGTGCAGAGGCACTTAGCAGCTTTTGGGACCGCTCATGTGCAGTATTTGCCCCAAAAGCAGGAAGATGCCTAAACTCATCTGCTGATGGGGGTCTACCCTGGGGAGGAGCTCAAAGCGTTAGTTGAATGCTATCACTTCTCCGTGCCTACATAGCTGTGGGGAGTTCAGGTTCTAGAAGGCCAGCATTTGGGACCCACAGATACTGTGCCATGAATAGACCTTGCTTAGCGTTTGGGATCAATTTAAAGGGAGCCAGAAGTTTCAATTCACCTTGCAGTTTATTGAGAAAGGAGCTGATAACCCGTATGCATGTTTAGCAAGGGGACTGGCCATTTGCCATCTGCTGAGATTCCTGGTGTTTGGAGGCACTGAGGAGAAACCCAACTTCAGCTCCAAGGGCTTGGAGGTAGTGGGAAGTGCTGTTCAGATCCCAGTGGCAGTCCTTTTGTGTTTCTCCCCCATGTCCTGAGGCAAGGATTATGAGTGACCTGGTCAGGTTTATGGCTGACACATGCTCACTCCCCTGGCTCAACCTACTTGTTTCTGTTTAGAGACATATTGAAAATCTCAAACTCTAGACTCTGGACAAAGGTTATGGCAGCAGTTGGCTCCACTGTGGTTAGTTAAATTGTTTCTAAGTGACAGTCAATCATATCATTTTAATTCTCTTCCCATTTTCTCTGTTATTATCCTGGAAACCCTTTGAATCCCCAAGGCAAACCCCCAGAAGGACCATCTTCAAATCCCAGCCAGGAAAGAGCTGCCTCTCCCTCCAGTCTATCTGGATGTCTGGTTTTGGGTCTCCTATATGTTTTTCTTTCCCCTATGACTGAGAAAAGGGAGTGTTGAAGAGAAGCAGGGGATAGTTGCATTTTGGATGGGTGGTGGAAGTGCTGTGTACCCTGGCTGCTGCTGTAGGATGCTCTGGTGGAGGCAGCATCCCCTCCCTTCTCAGTGGGAGGCAGATGCTCATCCACATGTCTGGAGCTGATTCTCACTTGCTGCAGCTCCAGCTCCCTCCCAGCGCTGCGCTAAATGTTCAGTTTTGTCTACAAGACTCCAGAGGAAAAGTCAGGAAGCCCCAGAGGCCGATTATTGTAGAGACAGGGAAGACGCAACAGTCACTCCTGTCTCTGTGGATGAAGTAAGGTATGTGCAGCTGTTCTCTGCCCAGCTCCCAGCATACCAGTGAGACCACAGGCAGAGCCAAGAAAACAATGCATTAGCATCATGCTGGAAAGAGCTATCACATTTCAGTTGCCGGGGCAATACAGCTAGTGGGACACCCAGCTGGTCACTGGAATATAATCCCCAGGCACCTGAGCTCCAAAGAGATGATCAGCATGGGAGATAACACTTAATAAGGGCATGACTAAACCTGAACCCTAGGGCGGATTAGGGCAGAGTTGGAGGGGAGAAGGGAGGGAGGGGCAGTTGAGCAAAGGCCAGCTCTGCATGCTAGAATTTCATAAATGAAAAGATCCAGTAGAGGTCCCAGTACCTATTACTAAACAGCTGTTATGTTCGTAGTAGCTCAAGGCAGGAGATGAAAAAGACACATGTATGTGACTGAAGCTGCAGGAGGAATTAAGGAGATGGAATTTAGGTAGGTCAGTTGTTAATATTCCTTTTCTTCTGAGATGTGCCCTGGACTCCTAGGTTACGTCTACACTGCGGAGTCTTTTGAGCAAACCTGTTGTTTCAAAATATAATGGGCTTGTTGTTCTGACATCCCTGTAAATCTCATTCTATGAGGAGTAAGGGACGTTTTGGAATAGCACTCTATTTTGAAATTTAAATCCAAAATAAGCTATTTTGAAATTAACTCAAATAAGCTACACAATTTGTGTAGTTCAAATTGTGCAGCTTATTTTGAGCTCTAGGTGTAGTATAGAGGCATCCCTACTGGCCCCAGATAGGTAGGGTCTCTGCTTGGGTCACATCCAGAAGATAGCATCTGTGGCAACCCTGTGCTGTGGCACTGGCTTAGAGAAGACCACCCACAGGAGCATGGACATTGCCCTGCTGGCTCAGACTATTTGTCTTTCTAGTGTTTCCTCTCATCTTCCAGAGGAGATGCTCCAGTACATGAATCCCTCTATGTCCAAGTGTGGAATAGCCCGGCTATAGGACAATGTCATCTGAAATCTAGTCTTCATGCTTAGGAATCAAAGGGTTAATAGCCCTTATCCTGTCTAATGGAGCTGTGGGTATTCGCCTTTGCATTGCTGGCACCATTTCCTACTGTGTCTAGCATTCCTCCCAGCATGTATATGCAGCACACACCTGCAGTCTGGCTCCGGCCTCATCCAGAATGCAGAATGCTAGTTCCGAGCAATTAGAACGTCCAAGGATAACATGGGCACTGCAGAGAGCGTGACAGTTGGGGGTAGAGAGATCTTTTTTGTGGGCGCCTTCTACTGGCAGCTTTCTGCTGGAATGTTTCCTGTGGGATAAGACAAGGATTTGATGCTGGCTCCCATTCCTTCCATTCCTCTACTGGCCACACAGTTGTGGCTATGATGAGTTTGGCTGTGGTTACAGTAAATACTGGTTCCCTACTGTGGAGAGGTAGGCAGCAGGTGCACAGATCCAATCCAATCCAGTCCACCAGGCTGTGGTGGCCATTGGTTCTGCCACTCTTGGAGAGCCGGTTCTGGGCTGTCATGGTTCCTTTGGAGTCTCCACAAGTGATTTGGAGCTGTGGTTTTGTGGGAACAGTGCTGGTGCAACAGGGACCGATTTCCTCATGTGGGGCAGAAGCTGGATGTTTGCTCCCTAGCCTGGGCTGTTTCTGGCCTGTGTGTGCCCACATGGCCTGATTGAATGGAGGGGTTTGGCATGAGTTAAGTGTGAGGTTAATGGTGCTGTCTCCTGGGCTAATGTGTGCTCCTTTCTCTCCCTCTGGCAGAATCAGAGCGTCTAGTGAATGGCAACCACCAGCTGTCTCTCAATGATGCCCATAAGGGGCAGGGAATGAGGCCCCGGCCCAGCCACAGCTCTCTAGTCAGCTCCATCGAGAAAGATCTGCAAGACATCATGGACTCTTTGGTGATAGAGGAGTCGGGATGCCCCAGGAAAAAGCTGTCTGCCAATGCCCAGTCCCCTGTTTCCTCAGTGGTGAATGGTGGTGGGCACTACTTCTTGTCCCCACCCTTGAGCCCCGGGGCCATGTCTGTGGGCTCCAGCTATGATAACGCATCTCCACCCTTCTCCCCACTTTCTTCCCCAGCCAGCAGTGGCAGTTACACTAGCCACTCTCCCAGTAGTCAGGAGCAGGGGCCACCCATCCCCCCCGTGGTGCCAGTGAGATCATCCAGCTACAACCATGCCATGCAGTTTCCACAGCAGCGGACACCTCCCCCTCCAGGTGGTGCCTCCCACCTGGACCTGAGGAGCAGTGCCATGGGCACAAATGATACACAGCTTGCAGAGAGTCCTAAGATGCAGAGGAAGGCCGTGCATGGCAGTCCCGTGAGCCCCACACCTAGCCAGAGAACCCTCCACCCTGAAGGCCCTGGGCTTTCAGCCTTCTCCAGTTCCCGGAGGGCTGTTGAGAGCACACAGTTGGGCCATTCTAACCAGCACATGCCCCTAGTGTCTATAAGCCTGAGTGACTATGTGACAGGAAGCTCCCAGGCTCAGCCTACCAATATCCCCAGTAGTCCCCATCTGACACCCAAATTTCAGTCGCCATCTGCTCAGAGGTTGAAAATGGTGGCTCTTCAAGAGCGCCCACCCAGCCCCTTTAGGGAGGTCAAGGAACCCCCTGGCATTGACAGGCACCTGGCCTCCAGCCCATCCCGGCAGATGTTGGCAAGAGTCTTCCAGCCTCTGGAGACTGCAGGCTTCATCCATGTCAGTCAGGGCAGCCGTTCTCTGCAGCCCCCTGAAAGTCCCAGAATGGGCAGAAGGAGCATGGAGAGCATGAGAGACTTGCCTCCCCTCAGCCCTTCCCTGTCTCGCCGGGCAGCACCCCTGCCTTCTGCCTTGTCTCCTCAAGCAAGGACCCCCCAAGAGAGTCCCTCACAGCAGACCAAGCTGGCCAAGGAGGTTCCTGAGAGCCCTCGCATCCGGCACAAGGCAGCCAGGCCCCTGGAGAGACATGAAGACTTCTCCTCATCCTCCTTGACAGGGAAGAATTTGAGAACCAGAAGTCCCTCACCCATCTTCCAGGCAGAACTTGCCTCCCAGCGTAAGCCCAGCTTCAGTATCACTCTCAGCCCTGCATACAGCCTGGGATCACTGGCCGTGTCCTCACCCCATCAGAGCCCCCGGGCACAGAGAAAGCTGTCTGGAGACCTGCGGCTGCCCATGAGCACAAGGGAGCGCAAAAATAGCATCACTGAGATCAGTGACAATGAAGATGACCTGCTAGAATATCACCGACGCCAGCGCGAGGAGCGGCTGCGTGAGCAAGAGATGGAGCGCCTGGTGAGCAGCATGGCATGCCATGGGGATGCAGTGGGATAGGAACTGGTGAGGGAGCGGGCACAGTGTGGAAGTGGTTTAGAGGGATGTCGGAATAGGCCTGGTAAAGAGTTAGAGATGGTGCATAGTGTGAGAAGCGCTATGGGTAGAGGCTGAGCTCTAGAGAAGGGGGAGCACTGGATCTTGAGAGAGAAGTGAAGTCTTCTTTACGCCATGCTTGTCGATGCTGTTTCTCATTCTGGGGTGCACAGATACAGCACAGTGGGTAAAACAGTGAATGTTTAGGAATAGCCAGTTTATCCAAGACTCTCACAGCAGCTGGAAAAAGTCTCTTAGCGTTGCTGGAACTGGATGCTGTAATGCTAGGTAGGTCGCTTTGACTTAGGCCATGTCTCCACTTCCTGGAAGATCGATGCTCTGGAGATTCCGGGGTTCGATTTAGTGGGTCTAGTAAAGAACTCTGAGGGCGCCCCCGTCAGCACTGGTACTCCTACTCCTTGTGAGAAGTAAGGAAAGTCAACAGGAACATTTCTCCCATCAACTTCCCGCTGGTGGGGCCTCCCCAGAAAATTGATGCAAAATATGTTGACACCAGCTACTCGATTCACGTAGTTGGAGTTATGTATCTTGCATTGATTTTTTTCCTCCAGTGTATACCTGGCCTTAGGCTAAGGCTGATCAGATCTTAGGGCATTAATTGGCCATCCTACATTGTACTGTGCATGCTGGACTCTTTTGCCTCCTCACTGGGATCATAGTCTGAGCTGTGCTGGTCAATCTGTACCCTGTGGGATTTGATTCCTGGGTCCTTCTGCCCTGCCAACAGTAGATTCATGTGAGATATACAACTGTCTGTTTTCTCCCACAGCTGAGGCAGCAGTGCTAGGAGCTGCCCATGGTGGCTTGTTAGTTTACTAAGCAGCTGGGTGAGACTCTGCATGTGACCCTTGCTAGCTCCCATCAGCATGGCATCCTCAGCTGAGGAATTATGTGCTGCATTTCTGACTTCCATTCATTACAGCTGTAAGCTCAGATGCTGTCATCTGCTGACTGTATCCTGGGTCCCTGCAGTTTCACATCAGTCTGACAAGTTCATGCTGTCACCCTGTCAGAGCAGTGTCTGCTGAGAGTGAGGCATTGGCTACAGTGAGCCCTTTTCTTTTCCCCCTCTGTTCCAGCTGGCATACTACTTTATAGGAGAAGTAGGACTGTAATCCCGTCTGTAACACCCATTACACATCCATGGCAGGATCATAATAAGGCACATATTGGTGAGCCCCAGGCTTGTAGCATGCTACAGAGCTTAGAAAGCTCTTGCCTTGTGTATGTGATCCACAGGACCCCTCACCCCTCAAATGCCTAGCAGGGATTTGTGAAGGATAGTCAGGAAGGCAACCACAGTGTCCTCCACAGTTTCAACCCATCCCTTGGAGAGCGTGGAGAGTGGAGTGCTCTGCTGACGGCCAAGGGTCCTATAGCAAGGGTGGGCAACCTTTTTTGGGTCGGGGGCCGCTGACGCATGGAAAAATCAGTCGGGGGCCACACACAAAGGAGAAACCAAAAAACCTTTAAACCCTCACCGATATGGAGAAGTAAAAAGACACTCACCACATTCCCCACACACACCAGAGTCTAGTGGAGCCCAGGCTAGTAGATTTTGTGTGCTCCAGTCCCTCAGTAGGTGTGGGCTCCCCAATACTAGGAGAGGAGCCCTGAGCCTCAGGGGCCAGATCCAGGTAAGCTGGGGGCCGCATCCGGCTCCCTGGCCTGAGCTTCCTCACCCCTAGCCTATAGCATTAGCCACTGAGTTGCTTTGGCATTGCACAGTCTCCAGGATGCATACGGCTTGGCATCCTCCTTGCTCTAGAGCAACTCTCAAGCCCTCCTCTTAGCCTGACTGCTCTGTGCTTGCATACAAGGCTATGGGCCTGGGCTTGCTTTGCCACATATTGGTACACAGAGCCCATGCTACTGGAAGGTGTACACATCATTGGAGAGCTGTCTAGTCTCTCCACTCACCTCAGTGGCATTACAGATTCTTGCTCTTACAGGGTTTGTCTAGACAGCGGCACTATTTCGGAATCCCAAAATAGCATTTTCCATGTCTTGATAGTGTGCCCATTATTTCGAAATAGCTTTCAAAATAACGCACGTGCTATTCCAACATCCCTGTAAACCTCATTCCACAAGGATTAAGGGATGTTTCGAAATAAGCTATTTCGAAATTAACTCAAAATAAGCAACACAATTTGCATAACTCAAATTGCATACCATATTTCAAGCTAAGGATGCAGTGCAGATGCACCCGCAGTAACCTGGGATTTCCCATACCCTCAGTGATGCGTTGAGTTTGACTCTTTGTAAGCCCAGACCCACACCCAGATATGAGAGATCACAGGCAATTGCAATCATGGCTGGTGTATTCTTTGCATAGGCCGTTGGATGTCTACTGTTTTCAAACCTAGACCCTTCTGCTGTGCATTTTGCTGCAGTTATAAACAACTACATACCAATATTGTGCATAGGCCTTTGAGTATCTAGACTTTTTGCTTTCTGGAGAGATTAACACAAGGAGCAGCACTTGGGCCTCCATTCTGAATGCAGATCACTGGATTATGCAGAAGCCAATGTGCAATTATCTGTCATAAAAGGAAAGGGAACCTCATGGATTCACATCAGGACAGTGCTGGTAGGTTATTCAGAAGGGGTATGTCTACACTACCACCCTAGTTCGAACTAGGGTGGTAGTGTAGACATACCCTAAGTGATCTACATTTATGTGAGGTGAACTGTAAATCTACAAAGTTTGTGAGTTATGTTATTGAGTCTTCATGCTCAGGGTGTCATGTGAACCTTACAGGACACTGATTGGCAGAGTCTGGCCAGTAAGTATAGGACTTTGAGGCCTTTTATCTAAATGTAGGCCCTAAGGATTCTGTTCGCTCTCTAGGAGCAGTCAGGCTGGGACTCCAGTTTCCTGTCACAGCAGTTAGCTGATTGTGCCCTTTTAATAGCGTTACATATATTGTACAAGGATGCTGACATATGGGAGGCTTGCAGACACTTAGGCCCTATATTTAGGCCATGGGACAGAGTTTTTATGGACTAGGCAGCTGCCTGGATGGGGAGAAAGGTGGGGTTTGACCAATGCATTTGTCTCTCTTTTTTTGTCTGTGTGTAGCCAATGAAGGGGACCAGGCCAGGGTGGTTCAAAGAGATTATGTAGCAAAACCCCTTCCCTTGCTACCAATGGTGTGCTGGGGCAAAACAGTTGTTAGTTGCTGCTCAAGTGATGGGATCAAGGCGGCACCTACTGACTAGACTTCTTGCCTTACAGGGTCATGGCTGCAGATATGGCCAAAACTACTAAAGATGGCTGCTGGCTATTGGGCTGCCTTTTGTAGGAGCTCATGGAGAGTCTGGTCTGTGTCCCCAGAAAGTTGTCCAGCACCCAGCCATGTGCTTAGGGGCAGGGAAGCACAGCTCTCCTCCCTCCTTGGTCTGAGTCTGCAAGAAGAGGATTTGACTAAGGCAAAGGGCTCAGTGCCTGAGATTACTTTCTTTAAGCCAAAGGAATCCATGTAGGAACTAGTGTCTTAAACTCATGGGAATAACTCTGTATGGGAAGGAGGAGGATATGATAATGTCCCTGACTGGAGGGGCACTTGGAAGATGATGACAGATGCCTTGTCAGATGGGAGTAGTATCAGGTACAAAATAATGAGACCCAGCAAGTTAGACTCCACCTGGTACTTGACACTCCCCTGACACTGTCTCCCAGAATCTATGAATCTTCATTCTACAGCGCACTCACTTCTTTTAATTCCCTGCAGGATTACATTGGAAATGGGGTTCTTCTCTTGCCTTGTCCAAAATGTGTGTGAGTACTGTTGCTGTGTGCCTTCACCCGCTTGTGGGAGCTGCCCTGGCCACAGCCCATTTTGTCAGTACCATATGCAATGTGTGTGGAGTACTTGGGGCAAGAAGCGCAGTGGGAATGCAAGGCTGTTCTCCTTGGCACAGAACTGTATCCAGTATAAAATATCAGAGGGGTAGCTTTGTTAGTTTATAGCTGCAAAAACAATGGGGAGTCCTGTATACCTTAGAAGCTAACAGATTTATTAGGGCATAAACTTTTGTGGGTAAAACACATTTCATCAGATGAATTGGAGTGGAGTTTAGAGGCATGGGTTTATATAAGGAAAACAAAAAAAAGCGGGTACTTGTGTTAATAAGGCTAATCAAGTCAGGTTGGCAGTCGCTCATTCACAGCAGTTGATATGGAAATGTGAATATCAAGAGAGCGGAAATTGCCTGTGTAGTGTATTAACCAGTTAAGATCCTTATTCAGTCCTAAATTGATTGTATTGAATTTGCAAATGAAAAGCTGGTTACTTATCTTCATAACTGTTGTTCTTCGAGATGTGCTGCTCATATGCGTCATCGGAAGTTTTTTCCCTTAGCAATATCTGTTGGGTCATCAGGGGAGGCCCCTGGAGTGGCACCACTATATTAACTAATATATTCCCCTGATGGCCCTCCACCCCCCGGTCCCTTCTTACCAGACTACTCTGAAGAGGGGAGGCAGGCGGGATTTGGAATGAAGTGGGTGAAAGGCCATCAGGGGAATATATTAGCTGATATAGTAGCGCCACTCCAAGGGGCTCCCCTGCTCTGATGCCGTTTGCATGCTGCACATGCACACCTGCATGGAATGGACATGAACAATCACTCAAAGACCTTTCGCCATCTCCCTTTGTAATTGGGGGTTGAAATTCTTTTGCAGAAGGATGGCTACTTTCAAATCCATTACTGAATGGCCAGAGAAGTTAGTGTCCCCTACAAGTTTATTAAGTATGTTACCTAAGGATGTTAAATTGTGGTTATCTGGCTAATTGTGTAGTCAATAAGGACCGCTCTGCAAAGCCGCAGTGGGAGTCGCTCCAGCAGCCAGCTCCTACTGGCTCCGGGAGCCACCTCCACTGTGGCTCTGCATTTTAAAT